ACGCCCTCCCCCCTTCCTGTTCCATTAGATCCGCTGTGGGTCTCTTCTTAATTGATGGCAATTAATAACAATTTAAAAACATTTAAAACATATATAAAATAAAAAATGGTCATCTATTGCTCAATAGATGCATGCCCAAACTGCATCATTCAGTCCACATACGCCAAGCTGCCACAACAGTACCAAGGACAGACTGAACAGTGGTCTTGATTGTCTAGTATGTGGATGTGCTGAAATAAATCCTATAATATTCCAACATGGTTTATAACAGTTTGGCTTCACTCAGAGTACAATGTTAAATGTGATTCTTTAGTTCTGTGAATCAGAGTATAGGGCTTGAGTAACAACAGCTCTAACAGGCTCAATCTGACTAAATGTAGAAGATGATTCAGTGTATGAATCCCTCCCAGTGGGCCCGGTTTGCAAGGGCCAAACTGTATTTATAGACAACCTGTCATGAAAAATGCATTAGTTTTCCAGATACATGATTCAGGGAGACATTCTTGATTGAATGGTCATATTGGCAAATGAAACCAGTGCTTACTTCCCAGATTATCAATCACAAAATGCAGCTAGGTACAGTACATTTGCAAACTACGTGAAGTGTGAGAAGCTCTGCATTGACAATCAGACATTTTTCAGCACATGAGGAATTACCTCTTCCAACGACAGGATGTTTTTGATGTGTTGTTGTTGCTGTTTAGTCGTTAAGTTGTGTCCGACTCTTTGTGACCCCATGGACCAGAGCATGCCAGGCCCTCCTGTCTTCCACTGCTACCCAGAGTTAGGTCAAATTCATGTTGGTAGCTTTGATGACACTGTTCAACCATCTCGTTTTTAATATACTGTAGTTTGTCCTAAGTCAGGATTAGTGATGGGCACGAACCTTGGTTCAGAGGTTCATGTTGGTTTGCTTCCTCCCCCCACCCCAGTGCCAGCCATCTCCCCCACTCACCAACTGGTACATGCTACTCTTCTTCTCCTCTTCACATCATCATCCAGTTGTGGCAGGAGCATGGACTTCCCTTCTCTGCTTCCTCCATTAGCTGCCCACTTGGATGAGGACGTGGGCAGGGATGCCTGCAGCACTTCCTTTGAGTGGGCAGCTGCTGGAGGAGGCAGAGAAGGGACATCTGTGCTCCTGCCACGACTGAACAATTGTGCAAAGAGAAGGAGAAGAACTAGCGTACACCAGCTGATGAAAGGGGGAGCCAGCTGAAGTGGGGGCGGAGAAAAGGAACACATGATACCTGTGGTGCCATACTGATGAACTGACACTAACCTCCAAAGCGAGGTTTGTGCTCATCTCCAGTCAGGATACTTTTGCATGGAGGGGTACTAATGCTAACACCTTTGTACAGCTATGCTGTCTTTCTTTTGTCTTAATGAATTTATTTGGTAAGAAGAAAGACAGGTGAAATGGTGGAGAAACCTGGGAAGGCTACAATTGGAAGACGACAAAATCCATGTGTGAGGGAATGCAATTGCACAATGAATGCCCCATCTAGAAGCATCTTTAGTAAATTTCATTGACCAGAGATTATTGTGATTATTGTGTATGACTACATAACAGACAAAGCCAAGTCAGAACCTAAGCAATATTCCCACAGTGATTTGTTCATCTTAAGGACATTCTCCCAGGAGATCTTTAAGGGATGGGAACTGATTTCCTATGTCACACGAAAGGTTCCCTAGGACTGCTGTAATCATACCCAGAAGTCGAATCAGTTCCTTGGATTGTAAATCAAGTCCTGAAGTTTCTTTGCCTCTTTTCCTTTACAGGCTTCAACCCTTTGCTTCTCACGTCTGGAGGCTATGAAAGAGGCAGGAGTTCCTCCTGATAAATCAGTTCTCTCCAGGAAAGGGTATCAGGCTGCCTCAGTCTCAGCCTTCAGTTTGGTTTGGAAAACACCAACCCTCTCATGCCTGCTCATTCCAAATCCCTCTTAGATGGTATCTCCGTTCGACTGCCTCCCATTAAGCTGCTCCTGCAGGAGCCAGAGATAGGCAAGGAACAATGGGTGGAGAGCAGGAAATGCTGCATGGGAAACAGGATTTCATGTCACTGCTCTGCTGTCTACAAGGGCTGTTAGTCTTTCCTCCTCCCCCCCCATCCCCATCTCCAGCTTCCAGTTCCACAAGGGAACTGGGACAGCTCATGCCATGCCCAAACCATTCCCTGTATTGCCTGGAAGCTTTCTTTTGTGCTCCTGCTGAGACTCCCCAACCAGCCCTGGAACAAATAGTGGGGCCATATTAGCTCTGTAGCTAGACAACGGCATGGAACACCAAACAGTAAAGGATGGAAAGTATATTTTTGAAGTGCTGTGCTAAACTTTTGGGCACATTTGGAGAAAAACCTGGTTTTCAGGAGCTGGCCTGTGTGGAACTACCTCTTGTTTTTAATTGAGATTCTATACCTGAAGCTGAAATCACACATTCTGTGGAGTGTCTAGAGAAGCTGGGCTGGACAAACAAGAAATGTTTCATCTTTAATCGGAGAGAAAAAAACATTACACTTTGTCCCCCCGTGGTTTTGTGTGGACCTCCTTCTAGCTGCTCTGACTCCTGGAAAGCGATGGAAGACACGGGAGTACCAACCATAGGAAATGTACGATGCGGATAAAGAATCACATGAATAATCCCTATAAAGTTTCCCTCGTCTGAATCAGTGATGTCTGAGTTCTCCTGACAATAGGCACATTAAGGAAAAATGGGATTGGACAGAATTTGCCTTTTAAGCCTCTTTTTGCAGCTGGCAGGTATAGTATTCTCTTATTTACTTGTTTTAATTATATAATGCATATTCATTTATGCCCTGTGGGGATATATGAAAAACTGTCAGGGCAGATAATATAATAAGGTTAAGATTGTGAAAGGCACACAAAAATGCTCATTCTCATTCTCTCTCTCTCTCTCTCTCTCTCTCTCTTGTTCATGTGTGTGCATGTGTAAATATATAAAACAAATCAAAACAACCCAAGAATAAAACCAAGGACAAAGCAGAAGCAAAGGACAAATTCTTAAACCTGGAAGACTAAAACAACTGGGAAAATAAAAATATTGTCAAAAGGTGTGCAAATTTCCCTGGAGAGGGCATTCCATAGCAAAGTAACACTACTGAAAAGCCCTTGCCCCCCCCCCCCCAATTAGAGTTCTCTCTAATTGCATTCTGCCACTGGGGGTACTTAGAGAAGATCCTCTGGGAAGGGGGTTTGGTATAGCTTTGGGTGGCAAAGCAAATGGTGCCTTAAGGGGATTCTAGAACTGAGACTGGGTCTAGAGTTCTGTGCCAAGGTAGATCTTATACTGTATTGAGAAGACCTCTAGAACTGAAGACACAGTTTCAGTAAGTTATACTAGCAATTCCAACTGAGAATTTCTTACAAGCTAGAAATATTTATGTATGCCTGTTTTGTCTCTAATTTGGAGCAGGGAGTCCAGCCACCTCTGCATGCTCTTGACTTGGGAAGCTGTGTAGCCACAATGAAAATGCACAAGATTCGTAAGAGGCATTGCGGGGGGGCTCACTAAGTGACATTGCAGGGTACAGGTCCTGTTCAAAACATCCTCCTTTGTGGTATTGTTTCTATTCATGTCTAAATTGGCATTTGGTACCCTTGGGACCAGTTTTTTGTTTTGTTTTTTTAAATCCTCCCAACAACCTGAACCGTGCTCAGCTATGTTTGGCTATGCTCTGGATAGGTGTAGATCCAACCCCACATGCAGGTTTTCAGAGAAGCTCATAACCCCATGTGTTATTTTGGTACATCTTCTTTGTATTTTCCAGCCAGTAACTAATTCATGTAAAGTAGAGCTACACATGAATGGATTAGTAGTTGTCTCTTTCTGGTCTATTTCTCTTTCACACGTATTCCCTAATGAACTTTTCAAAAATCTGTTCAGAAATTTACACTGTTAAATTCACATTGTATCAGAGGAAGTGGATTGTAATCCACGAAAGTTCACACTCAAATGAAGCTATTAGTCTTAAATGTGCCACAATATTTTTGTTTTTGTTATACATTTACATATCTATTTATCTATGCATTTTAAAATATTTTCTCTGAAAATGCATATGTTTAAATATATTCTGGATGCAGTTATTGAACCAAGGACTGAATTAGAACATTTGGGAAGTTCATGATCCAATCAGTAACTAATTTCTAATCTAAACTTTAGACCAGATGGTTCCAATTACTTCAGTCCACACTAGAATCCACAAGACGGAACCATGCCAGCCTGACATGGAGCACAGGACATACAGAACAGCCGAAAAACTGCCCAAGTAATGCTAGTCTAAGAACATGCAAAATGTGACCACTTGAGCCATTTATGCAACCCTCAGGCATCCCAACCCAAAATGAATTTGGCCTCTACAAAATGGCCAACCGTACCCCAAGAGGTCTTTGGGGGGGGGTACAAATAACCATCTGGGACTATTTTCCAGAGGGGTGATCTTAGATGTTTCCTATCCCACAGTAGCTCATTGATGTTCCATGGGCAATAGGCTACCTAAGAGCATTCTGATGGCTATTTGTGATACAAAGAAAAGACATGTGTGGGTGAAATACAGAATCGCCATATTGCTGAGTACAATTTTAAGAGAATTGAAA